ATATTTTTATTAAATCTTTTATTATATAAAAAAGGTTTTTATTATAAAATTATATAAATTAATACTAATTAAATATTATTACTTATTTATAAAAGTAACTATATATTATTATTCTAGTCTTAAAGACTAATTAATAGAAGTTATTTTAAAAGAAACTATATTTTTATTTATAGTTTATTATTTTATTTAAATAAAGTTTAATTTAATAATAATAGTTTAATATAATCTATTATAGTATCCTTAAAGGATTACTTTATTTATATTATAGTAAAAGAAAAAAAAAGATATTTAACTATAAAAGACTAACTTTATAGTTACTATAAGTAGGTATTAATAGAAAGTTAAATTAAATTTTATATATAGAAGAAAGACTTAAGAGAGTTCTATAAAATAACTACTATATAGAAATAGAAGTTCTTCCTATTATGTCTATACTTTAGACTATTAGACTAACTCTTTAATTAGACTATAGTCTAAGCTTTTATATTAGGATACTTAAATAAGTATATAGTAATAAAGAATTAGAGGCTAAATTATTAGAAGATAGACTAGTAAGACTTACTAAGTAGTTATAATATAAAGTATCTAATAATCATAAAGAAGCTACTCTACCTAGTTAAATAGAGTTTATATTAGAGCAAAGTAATAAAAAAAAGAGATAATACTATAGATGTATACTTCTCACTTATAGTGTAATGATATAGGTTTTACACCTAGGTCGAAAGTTTAAAAACAGTAAAAGAATACAGCGAGCGCTACCACTAGAATTCAGAGCAGTCCTTAAACCACAAGCCTATTACACAATACATGGACTGTCAATCCCACAGTACCAGCTTCAAACATGACATCATTATCGCCGCTCGCGCAAACTGGCTCAAAGGCGTACTGATGAAGTCTATTAGCATCTTTAAGCCTGTACTAATCATCAAAGATGAGGCGAAACACACGCCAAGGAAGCGTGTTTGATAAGGCATCCGCGCCAGCCCCGCTACGGACTCCGAGCCCCGGAGTATCACGGGCAACATTATTGACTTGCTCTGTAACCTCATCAGGCAACCTTTACAACCTCCGGCCAATAAGCGGAATCCGCCGTATTACTCAAAAGAGTTAAACTCACTGGAATAGCTATCTTGATACGGTAGCTATGCATACTCTCGGGTCCGGGGTAGCGGTAACCTGCCGCCAAACCTCTATGTCACCACAACATGCACTCGCGATTCCTACACAAAGGTCCAGCAAGCAGGCGATATCTTTCCTCTTACCAAGGTCGCAGAAGTCGCAACCGCGCTATAGCTCCCTTCCCTTCACAACATTCCACGCGCACACACATGATGGCTGTGGAATGTACAGCCAGATCTGCCCAAAAGAAGAAGCCAGAGCCTCGAGTGCGGTACTCAACCTCAACACCGACGCACATTTACTGGAATCTTTATCAACATCCATCAGCGCTCGAGATTGCGCCAATTCCGTCTACTGAATGGCTACAACCACAAGAAAACAGTAAGCTGTGCGGCAGTCTCGCCCCACTATCTCGAGGTAGTCGCAATGATGATTCCAAGAACAGGGGACAATCTCTGTCGGACCTGCCGCCAGAGCTGCTTCTGCATCTTGCACGACTGCTGCCAATCGCAGACAGCTACAGCCTCGCGCAGACATGCAAGCACATCGAGGGCGTTCTCCACACGTACATTTTTCAGCACCAAGGCGAACGCCTCCTCCACTGGGCCGCCTCAAGCGGCAGGCCAGCCCTGGCGCAAAAGGCTCTAAAATACAAGCAAAACATAAACATCAATTTTATCCTACAAAATCGTACGCCATTGGCAAAAGCCATTGAGAGCTGCAAGCTACATGATCAACCCGACGGCGATTTCGTTGGCGTCGCGAAGACCCTATTGGGGCGCAAGGACATAGACTTGACGAACGAAACGAATGGGATCCCCATACTGCCGACGGCAATAGCGAATGGTGTTTATCCCGTTGTCCACCGCTTTCTGGAAAAGGGGATCCAGATCAATGCCTTTCTCGAGAATGGTATGACTCCACTGATGGTTGCCGCGCAGACCGGCCAGAAGAACATGGTCGACTTCCTTCTTCGCAGGGGCGCGGACATGAACCAGCAAAGCACCACCAGCCACATTACTCACTCCTCTAGTCGGACAGTGCTGGCGCAAGTCCTTAGTCTCGTTGCCTTTCCCTGGAAGCGACTAGATGGCGATTTCGCTGCCGTCGCGCGGCTTCTCGTGGAACAGCAAGACATAGACCTCACGGATGAAACAAACGGTATACCGATGCTTGAAAGGGCAATATCGAACGGCTTTTACCCGGCTGTTGATCGGCTACTCAAAAAGCAGCCAGCTGATTACGTCAATGCTGTCTTTTCCAACGGCCAGACTCCTCTCACGACGGCCGCACGGCACGGCCACAAGGACATTGTCGACCTGCTTCTCCGCAGCGGCGCAAACGTGAACCAGAGAACTGGCGCGGGTACGGGGCTCCACGACAGCGTTTATTACTCAAGCCTCAGCAAGGGTGGAGTACGTGGTGATTGCTGGACGGCCCTTACCATGGCTGCACGATGCGGCCACGATGAGATTGTTAGTCGATTGCTAGAGTGCGAAGCTATCGATACAGACGTCATTTCAACCGAAACCGACACGACGATGCCCGTTTCGTCGCCGGGCAGTCTCCTCGGCATGCTTAAGCAGGAGTGGTACTACGAATGGCAAAACAACACCTCGCAGAAGCAAGGACATGCACTATTCTGGGCTGTGGTGCAAGGGCGCGCTCGCTGCGTCCTGGCTTTGCTACAGTCCGATCGGGTATCCGTATCCGCAGACGAGCTGACCAGATTGCAACGAGTGGCAAAATCTGTACAGCTAGGAGTGGGCGGCGCATGTTTTATTGTTTGGATGCTGCGAGAATGCAAGGACGCCAATGGTGCAAGTTCACGCCGTGCTAGACTCCGCGATGCTACTACTGTTGAGCGAGTGCTGGCTCAGCGTCAGGGAAAGGAGATTGGGCGGTGCCAGACAGGTCGCACGAGGCCGCATCCCGATACGTAGCTGCTAGCAAGCCTGTAAGATAAATCGACGAGTCAGAGTCGATTGATACGGTACATATAAGAGTTGAGTCTGCCAAGTGGGAGTGGATTGCAAATGAATCAATAGTGTTTCTTGGACAGACCCCGTGCGCTGTGGCTCGCGCGAATACTCTGATTAAGACTCACTCAAAGACATCGCTACATTGCTTCAGTATTGCGGTAGTATCACTCTTGTCAAGTAAAACAGTTATTCTAAAGTGTAGCTATATTTGAATGTGCCTAGAAACTACAATAATTTCAGTCAAATCGAATGTTGCTCTATTAAACTCGGTACTCCATCCCGAAGAAAAAGTTGCTGACAGAATTCAAGTGAGTGGAAAGCCTCGTGTAGGCCAGTGGGGAGTGGCAACCGCAAACTCCTGGTCAACCACCAAAGAAAGTACCGCAAAACGCACCGTGTGGCGAGCATGGTAGTCTAGCTGCTCCTTTGAGTGAATGCAAGAATCAGACACCGATGTGCCCGTTACTCGTCCGTCTTCTCCGTGGACCCATTCGACGGCCCAAGATTTCCCGCTGCGGCTCCGTTCGGGGCTGGCGCGTCCGTCTTCGCCATGGAACCAGCGGCTGGCGCTGGCTTTCCTCCTGGGTGTCCCAGAGGTCCGTTCTGGTCTTGCGCCTTTCTCACGCTTTTCCACTCAACTGCCAATGCCGCTGCAAATGCCGCTGTCGCTGTTGCAGCGCCAATAACGAGAGTTTTGGTAACGGCGCTGTTGTATGCGTCAAGCAGTGCCGGCAGCTCCTCTGGGCTTGCATGCTTGCGCAGATCCGTCGAGCCAGAGTTGAGTATGTCGTTAGAGTTGGTGAGTCCTCGCAGACCAGTTTTCAAAAGGTGACTGAAGATGGACTGGCAGGCGGACAGGAACACGGATCCTCCAAGCGACTGAGAAAAGAAGATAAGGGAGATGCCGATGGGTGCATCCATCCTGGCCAGTACTGTCTGCGGCACCAAACCTCCGGCCGTCATGCCGAGGCCGGAGCCAAATCCCCAGATGACCTGATAGCCGATCCACATGCCGTCTGACGAATGTGGTGTGAGGGTAGTCAGAAGGCCAGCGCCGGTTGCCATCAGGGCAGTGCATGCGAGCATGAAGGGCGCATAGTATCCGACCACTTTGGAAATGGCAAACCCGGACACCAGGCCAGACACGCCCGACGGCACGACAAGAGCCAGCATCATGACGCCTGATCGCGTGGGCGAAGCAGCTTTAATGGCTTGGAACCAACTGCCACGTCATTTGTCAGATCAAATTCAGACTGGAGTAATGAAATAAGGGCACACTTACACTGGCAGGTAGTAGATGATGGACATCATAGACCCTGCAACAAAGGCGGTATACAGACAGGCTGCGGCCATGTTTCTTTCAAGTATGACTCGCAGTGGTACGGTTGCATTGTCCTTTTGCCACCACTGAACAAACATGAAGGCGACGAGCAGAACAGCGGCCAAGATGAGGAGCGCAATGATGCGGCCATTGCTCCAGCTATACTCCGACCCACCCCATTGCAGGGCAAGGAGTAGGCAGATGATGCCCGGGATGAAGCAAAGATTGCCAATGGGGTCCATGCTCTTGACCTGGTCCTTCCACGGAGTTCCTGCCTTTTTTGCGGGCGGCAGCTTCAGCACGAGGAGCGTGACGACAATGGTCAACGCGCCGACGGGCAAGTTGAGGAAGAAGCACCACCTCCAGCTGCCGTGCTGCGTCAGAGCACCACCAATCAGCGGACCAACGATGGACGCCACGGCAAAGATGAAGGAGACGATGCCCGAGTAGATGGGCCGCATCTTGAGCGGGACGGTGAAGAAGGTGATAATAACGCTGCCGCCAAAGATACCCGAGGATCCCAGGCCGGCGACGGCTCTGCCGACGATGAGCGTGACGGAGCTCTGCGCAGCGCCGCAGATGGCCGAACCGACAAGGAAGATGCCGACGGCGCTCAGAAAGACCCATTTGGCGTTGTAGTAGGCGTAGATCTTGCCGTAGACGAGCTGGAATGCGCAAAAGGTGATGAGGTAGGAGCTGCCATACCAGCTGATGTCGCCGACGCTGTTGAACTCATTGGTGATGGTGGGGATCGCGTTGACGACAATGGTGCGGTCCAGCGCCGTCAGGAAGCTGGCGAGGTAGAGCGAGATGATGTTGGCGTAGAGCGGGAAGCCGGTGGGATACTCGACGGCAGGGAAGCCTCCAAAGCCACTGCCGCCTGCGGGTGGTCCCTTGGGGGCAGCGGGCTTTGGCTTTTCGATGTCTGTGTTTGCTTCTTTGCCCATAGTGACTGCTGCTGGCTGGTGCTGGGCATTGGGGTTCCAGGACGGTGCAGGTGCAGCTGGCGTTTCGAGTCCTTTTCCTTCTTGGGGATTGTCGTCGGGCGTTGTCGCCATGACGCGCTGGATGAGCTGAAGATCAGGTGCACGTGCAGACGAGGAGATGTTGGTGGGAAGCGGGCGAGAGAAACGCCTCCTCTCGTCCCCGGGCAGCGAGAGCTTTCATGGATGGCGTAAGGCGAGTGGGCTAAACTGGCCAATGCCCGCACTAGTTAGAGTCTCCTCTTCGCCGTTAGATGAATTTATGGGTTCTCTCGGGCCGATCTAGCCGTTTCGCTTTCCGAAACACCAATTACGGGCGTCGCAGCCTGACAGCGGCTAGTTAGCGGGCAGCCCCTGCAGATGGTGTACCCACAGCGTCTTACAAAGTCGATGTCCGGACAAGGTACTGTAGCAGCGGCGGCAGTAGGGACGACAGTCGTCCGAACCATGGCACTCCACGTCTTAGCGACAGATTCCGACATCTAAAACGAATCGGAGTGTAATTATCCTGAATAGGAGTTATGTACGCCAACGTAATTGAGATCTTGTGTCTTTTGTGCCAAGACAGCCTGGTAAATCAATGAGTGCATACACAGTAGGTAGCAAGAATAACATTGTTGCAGCCTCTCCCGCTCTGACAGTGCGCCTGTCCAAGTGCGTTTGTTCGCCCGCACCAGCACCTACTCCGTCAAGATTCAAGATCACCACGTTAACTCTGCATCACTTCATTCTTCGTTCCTCTAACGGCTCCCTCATCGGCCCCTGTCCTAAATTCCAGCAGCCGTCAACATGACATCCGCCACCGCTAACACACTCAGCCCAGCCCATCTGTTCCACGTCGGCGACACCATCGCCGTCGTTACCGGTGGTGGTACCGGTCTCGGCCTCATGATGGCCAAGGCCCTCGCATCTGGCGGCGCCAAGGTCTACATCCTCGGCCGTCGCTTGGATGTGCTGCAAAAGGCCGCCCAAGACGCCATGGCAGAAATCAACGGCAATAACTCGACCGGCAGTGGCAGCGGCAGCAGCAGCGGCAGCGGCAGCATCGTGCCTCTCCAGTGCAGCGTCACCTCCAAGGAAGAGCTCCAGCGAGCCGTCGACCACATCGCCGCGCAGGACGCCAAGATCCACCTCCTCATCAACAACGCCGGCATCGCGACTCCCAACCTCGAGCCGCACCCGCAGCGCCCCAACCCCAAGTGGGACGTCAAGCGGATGCGAGATTTCTGGTTCAACAAAGCGTTCGAGGACTACGCGGCGCTTTTTGAGACAAACACGACGGCGGCTCTCCAAACTTCGTTTGCATTTCTCGAGCTGCTTGACAAGGGTAACCAGGCGCGCCAGGCAGAGATGGAGGCGGCGCGTGGACCCTCGTACCACGGGCCACACGACTTTGTGAGGAGCCAGATCATTGCCATGAGCAGCGTCGGTGGTTTCGGGCGCGACAATTCGGCGTTTTGCTACGGGGCTAGCAAGGCGGGCACGACGCACATGATGAAGAACCTGTCAACGTATCTGATTCCGTGGAAGATTCGGGTCAACGTCGTCGCTCCAGGATGTAGGTCCATACCCTCCCTCCCTTTGCACAGATGGCCCCAAAAAGAAAAAAAAAAAGAAGAAGAAATGTTGCTAACTCGGTTCTCAGATTTCAACACGGAAATGATGGGCACCTTTTACAAATCTACAAGAGGCAAACTACCCCGGTCGATTGCGCCCGAAGAACGGTTCGGTGAGATGCAGGATATCGGGGGCACGATTGTTTGGCTTGCGAGCCGTGCGGGGTCGTACTGCAACGGCAATGTACTCTTGATTGATGGCGGCTACTGCGCGGCCCATACAGCCACTTATTAATTACACTTTCGGTTACAGTACGTTGCATGATGAATGGAGGAGCAAGTTTAATGACTGACAGGGATCGTTGGGGCCCGGCCCGAGCCACTAGCTACATGTCGGGACCGAGCACCACTGTCGGGACCGAGCCCACCTGTCGGGACCGAGCCCACTTGTCGAGCACGCGCATGTTTTCACAGAGTACTCAGACGGGAGTGCCACCACCAAGTATATGTTAAAGTAGAAACTGAGAAATGTGATCGTGACTTCGCTTAATCCTTCACATTCAGACACTTTTATTATCTCGAAGTACAATTCATTGTAGTTATAATGACACTGGGAATGAAGGTTTAGTTAGCTGTAACGTGCAAAGTCGACGCGTAGCCGCAGGATACGTGGAGACGGAGAAGGACATGTAGGCAAGCTGTCGTTTTCGATATTAACGCAAAGAAAGAAAGGGGGGGGGAGGGGGGGGGGCGGTCGCCCAAAAGGTACTACGAGAAAAAAACTCAAGATGCGCCCTATCAGTTGAATTAATCGGTCATGCAACTCGCAGATGGTGCATGGCCCGCAAAGAGAGAGGCCTTACCAACCCTCCGGGCTCCTTACTCACCAAGCCTTCACTCCCAACACCAGACAAGCACATCAAACACAGTGACAGGCCATTACGGAGGTTATATAAGTCAAAAGCGGCTCCTTTCATTATTATTTTTCACGCAATTCTATGTTCAAGACACATTTTATGATGCACAATCATCCTTCTCCCCTTCTCTACTGCTGCTTCACTTCCTTCTCATCCTTAACCCCAAAGAGCTGAGTCCGCGCAGAAGCAAGCCTAGGTATCACAGGTGTCACCAGCGCAGTTCCTTAGAAAAGTATGTCGTATTCTCCACTTACATGGCAAACATGCTCTTTGGCTCCGGAAAAGGTCGATCCACCTTCTTGCCAAAAAGACGCGCCTGCACCAGCTCGCTCCCCAGCGCCGTCTTCAGCGGGATGACCATGTTGATGAGCAGCGGACCAGGCATGCCCATGTACAGGTGCATCGCCGACATCATGGCCAGGCTCATGCAGAAGCCCTTGATGAGGGCCCTCCACTGCTTGTGGTCGTACTCCTGCACGGAGATGGACGTCTTCTTGGCAGCGTCTTTGTCTTTGTCTTTGTCTTTGTCTTTGTCTTCGTCTTTGCCGTTTTTGGTTTTGGAAGCGGGCTCTGGGACATCTATAAGAACACTCGTTTCTTTGAAGACGGCTGTTAGGTCGGGCTAGTTGCCGGGGAACACGTATTCGTGGGGAGGGAGGAATTCAGCACAAACCTTTAGAGTTGTCGTTGTCAATAGAGCCCTTTGTGTAGGTGTAGACGAGGAGGACCAAGACAGTGCTTAGGGCGTAGGCGATGCGCATGCCGAGGAGGACTTGGGGGATATGGAAGGGGACCTGCTTGCTGGCCCAGAAGAGGCTGGCAAAAAGGAGGAAACCGAACCTAAACGCCAATATTAGACTGGATTGATGGCAAAAGATTCTTCGTTTTTTTCTTTTGATTCTTTTATTTTATTTCATGGTGGTGCCGCACATACACTGGATTAGCCATGATTGAGGGCCTGCGTGAGGTTAGTGTACAGTAGTGTGGCGCTGTAGTCGAGGATGCAAGTAAGGCGTGGGTGGGATTGGAGAGAGGGAAGGCGAGTAAGATCTTGTTTCGGCGGGCGTTTCTCCAAGAGAGCTTCAGAAGGGCCGCGTTAGCTATTACCTTTGTGGTGGCCTGTCGTAAGAGGAGCGGACACTCCCCGGGCTCGTTCCTGCACTGCGATCAGCTTGCGCCGTGGTATCTCGAAAATACCGATCAAGTTGGGCAGCTCTCAGCACGGACTCCGAAGACGAAGACCGCCCAAGGCTTCGCCGGCCGGCCGGTCGGCTACTGCATAAGGTAGTCTGCTTACAGTGACTTTGCTAGGGCTCAGCTCAGTGGGTCTACTACCTTGTATGTACCTATGTACCTACCTACAGTACTACCTAAGGTAGTACCTTGTAATCAGTGAGTTGTCAAACCCCCGAAGGGTCTTACGCCGGCACTGCTGCAACAAAGAAGAAAAACGTGTACAGAGTCGTGATCACACTCTTACTAATATGACTTACGCTTGATTGGGTCCAGCATGCACTACCATGGAGAATGACAGTACTGTACGAATTCAGTGCGCGCGGGTAGACTAGAACAAGCCACCATGGGGACATCCCCCCCCCCCCTTAACTCTTTCGCCAGCTACCCGCCGAAACAAAATTTGCCCCTCCTCTGTCCAGCGAAGCCCAGCCGCTCGACTCGCCCAGTACTATCACAGCACCGAGCAGGTTGTCGGCCCTCAGTACTACCACCTAAAATCCATACTAAAGCATTTAGCGACACGAAAAACTGTGGTCGTGATTTATCCGTCAATCAAAACTACCCCCGAAGTCTGAAAATACATTTTATCGTAGTTATGGCGGTGTTGTGTTGAGGGTCTAATTTTGTTGAATTTTGCAGCAAAAGGATGAATAAAAAACCGAGGACTGTAAATTTGTAGCTAACGGCTCGACTCATGGCTGATCCCTATGATGAGACAAATGACCGATCTTGACCAAGTGGTAAAGAGACATGTGAAATCGAATGGAATTGAGTTTTTCAGCCTTTGTAGTGACGTATGGTAAAAATTTCCGTTAAATACATCTTGTAGGGTAGGGAGCTGGTAGCCAAACCCTTTATAGACAACTGGCGTCGTCGCTGCCATTCAAAACCAAAGTCCTATTCATCAAACAAACGTCCGTTTCAACTAATAAAAAACTAGATAAATCAAAGGAGGTTATCCCCATTCAGTTGAATTTGCGACTAACGGTGATATTTGTACGCTGCGTTGTTAGCAATAGGACGCGGGCTTTACCAAGCCTCACTGGTCTCCGCTTAAGCAGGTCTTTGAAGCCAACACAGTATATTTTGGCTAATCTCTTGGGCAATATGCATGATAAATTGCGGTATATACAGAAGAGCTCGTCACTAGAAACAGGAAAAATGAAATAAAATATAAACTACAATAAGAGTCTAGTACTGCGTCACGCCCCCTCCAACTATCCGATTGACAGCCTCACATTTCCTTCTCTCGGCAAAAGGCATCCGCCTCACGCCGCTACTCGGGCCCCCAATCGTCCTCAAAGTAATCTGTCTCGGCTCTTCCATTTTCCACTGCTCCCCAAACAAAAAGGGCCACTCATCATCGTCGCCGTCGCCTTCGTGTTCATGCCCCTCTACCCGGGGCGACCCAGCCGACGCAAACGCCGCCCAAGTACTCGCCATCCAGCTCGCGAGCTTTAGGTCGCGCTCCTCGCTGATAAAGTACGAGGACTGCAGATTATTAAAAACGTACGGCACGTCAGAGAAGTGCGCGGCGCCCAGATACGCCCGTCCTTTGCTCTCCATGACTGGCGCAAAGGCCGACTGGTTCAGCTCGTAGAGGTAGATGTTGGGGGCGCCGGCCAGGGACATGTGCGCAGCCTGCGTGAGGAGCGGGCACGCGACGGTGGCGTCTCGGACGAGGCGGGAGAGGGCGCACCACGCGGTGCTAACGGCTTCGTGGCACTCGTCGCGGGAGGCATGGGGACCATCGAGGTAGAGATACATGAGCTCGAGGGCGGAAGGGTACGTGAGGGTAGGATAGCGCTTCATCAGCCAGCCCGCCGCATCGAAGGTGGATTGAATTGCTATGGGCGTTTCCATGGTCCCTTCGTCCACATCCCAGCCAAAGAGGAAGTCCACGTCTTTCACGAAGCGGCCTTCTTCGAATGCCTTGGCAGGCTGCTCCGGAACCATGGTTCCATCAACGACAGGGCCACTAAGGACGTTATTGTTAGCCTCTAATGCGTACCGAAACAAGACCTCCATTTTTTCTTCATTTCTTTTTTCAACTTACAATGCGTGAAAGCCATTAAGGGGATCAAACTCGTAGGCTACATCAAACGCCGTCTTGGTGACTTGGTCCATCGAAAACTGTCGCAAGCAATTAACGGTGTACCAGTACTGAGGACTGGCAGCGATGCACCCGAGCTTGGCAGCCACGGCGGCGAAACTATCCTTAGACGTCTTTGCATTCCCAGGCCAGGCTGACATGGCCGATCCGCTCTGCGCAACCACGCGTCGAAACGGCACATTTGCTGGAGCGTTTTTGCCGGTAAGGAGATGCAGTCCGATATCCGACGCGCCTGTATCCTCGCCAAAGACCGTGACATTGTCCGGGTCGCCGCCAAAGTCGGAGATGTTGTCCTGTACCCACTGCAGCGCGAGCGCCTGATCGTGAAGCCCGAGATTGGTGAGCCCGTCCTCGAGGAGGCTGTCAGAGACAGGAAAACCGTAGATGTTGAGGCGGTAGTTCATGGCGACGTAGAGGACGGGGTTGCCGCTGTTGATGGACGCGCGGATGAGCCCGACGGGGTCGTAGGCGCTGTCGTACACGGTCCCAACGAGGTGGCCACCGCCGTGGATCCAGATCATAACGGGGAGCAGCTTCTTCTCTGCGGCGGCATTGTCGGTTTCCACGGCTGGCCTGGAGATGCGCAGCGTCAGGCAGTCTTCGGAGATGTTCTTGATGCGCGTCCACGGGTCCTGCTTCAAGGGCTGCTCGGGCTGGGGACAGGCCGCGCCGGGCTCGGTCGCGTCGACGATGGTGTCGGCCGCCGGTGAAAAGGGAATTGGATGACGGAAGCGCTGTTCGCCGCTGGTGTCCTGACCGTAGGGTATGGACATGAATTGTTCGATCTTGCCATCTTCGGTTGCGGTGCCGATGTACGTGATGGGGACTCGTTCGTTGGTGACAGAGGGGCGCTTTGCTTGGGTGAGCAGCGCCAGTGGCAGCAACAGCAGCAGGTGCGTGGCTCGCATTTTGACCGAGGGCTGTGTGATGGTTGAGAGCAGGGAAATTGTCAGAAATGACCATGTGTAAGTTTCGACTTGACTAAAATTTGAAGCAGCCGACGACATGGCAATCTGAAGTTGGCTCCCGGGTCCCTCAGCCTCGTCATGATTTGATTGGCGTTGTCCCGCTGGTCGTAGTTAGGCCGCCATTAAACAGCCTGGTGACTGGACGATCTTCAGGGCTCTGTGGATGCCCTCCAGCTGCTGCAGGGCCAGAGCAGCGAGGGGGTTTTCGGGGCGGGGCGGGTGGGGCTTCGGAGTCCGGAGGGCTGGCTGACCCTTCCTCAGCCTTATCTCCACGTAACATCGCCCTTTTGAGCCCGTTTACAAAAAGCTTCATCGACGGGTGACCCCCACTTTAATATGCTGTTATCTTAAGTGGGGGTACCTAATGTGCTTGATGTGCCTCGAACATTGTCACGGATCTTAAGCCTAGTGGTGGCTAGCAGCGCTGTAGAGCTAAGTTGCTACACCGATTGCGTGATAGCCGGCTCTCATCTACTGTTCAACCATGGCCTATCTCTACTAACACTGGATGATCTCTCTCCTATAACTACTATTTATCCTTAATACAGTCTATAATATTAGGTAGCTAGATCTTAGTACTACTTAGATTTTAGTAAGTTATTATAACTATAGTTATTAACTATAAGACTAGATAAATAATTTAAAAGAAAATTTAAATAATATAAAAATAATATTTAGAAATAAATAAATAATTACTATTATTATATTATACTAATTAGGCTAGTCTATCTATCTAATACCTTTAAAAGATTAATAGTAAAAGAAAAACTAAAGTCCTTAGAGGAAAACCTTTATTTCTACTATAAGTAGTTATTAGCCTTATATTAGTTCCTAGTAGGGTCTAGTATAGGCCCCTCTTTTAATCCTTAGGTTTTTATTTTTTAGTCTTATCCCTTTTATTATTTCTCCTCCCCCCTCTCTAATATCTTCTACCTTATTATTACTACCTTCTTTAGTTATATAGACTATATTAGGGTTAAGGTATTCCTAGTCCTCTCTATTATAGAGTATAGGTGCCTAGTTAGGGGGGG